TATTAAAGCAATTCAAAACAGACATACAGTAAGAATAGGACAGGCTTGATTACAGTTGATATCTGTTTGGTGAAATTGGACTCACTGTCTATCTTGAATTTTCATTTGACCCTTTTGGAGATCAATGACATATTATTCCTGATATAGTGAGGGTTTTGTCTCTTTTTGTCTACCATCTGTCCCATGGCCTGTGTGATTGTAGTCGTATTTGAAATGCAAGGGCTGTGACTGGCTCCCTTCGATGGCAAGAACAGGAAGGTTTTCACCTGTATGGCTTTTAAATCTGCTTCCACATCCTAGAAAATGATTTTGCCTTGGAGGAATCAACTTCAATTTCACCTGCAGGGAGTTTTTTACACCAATATAGAGCATTACTTACCAACTCTGTTTTGAAGAATTGCTAAATACAGCTAGATTGCATGTCTAATGTATTTTCCAACAATAGTTTTCAGTTTACATTGATTAGGGTGACCATATTTTCATTTTGTAAAACCAGGACACCTTGGAGCGGGGGGGGGGGGGGATCTCTGTTCCCATCTCTGTGGCATGCACTCACTTGACATAGACCTACATAATCCTACAATAACATGATATTTACAGTTGATTTATTAAAAATGCTTTTCAGTAAAAGTCAACAGCAATAACTCCAATAACAAACGATAATTTAATTCAAAATGTATGAAGCCGGGAGTAATACAGCACACAGAGCTTCAAATAACAGGGGTTCTTTATTTAAAAAAAAATAAATGAATGAGGTTCAGTATTTGAAAAAAGTGAACCGTATTTTATCAACAGAAAGCCTGAGCTCTAGTGAAATGGCGGGCTAATAACGCTAATAACACTCAAAGTAACAACGTAGCTTCGCATACAAGCCAAAAACTTCACAGCTGCATATAACAAACGGCAGTGGCACCTCTAGAAGAGGACAAACAGAAAAACATAACATAAGCATCATATCTGTAGTTTTATCCACGGAAGATATCTCAGTTCAAACATTAATTTACCTAATACTTGGATTCTTCACTCATATGGCCATAGAGTCGTCTTCTCCAACAAGTCTTAGCTCAAAAAAAGAAAAAATGTCTTTCTCCTCCGTTTCTTTCCAGTTAGAGTACCACGGTACATGAACAAGAGTTTTTTTCTACTTCTGGTAACTTTAGACCTCTCTGTACCAACAGCACCACATGCTGACAAGAACAAGAATTACAACCAGTCAGTGAAACAAAAACAAAACATGGTTTACAGAATATATCTTGGACATGTACCCATTTTTCACCTGGTTACATTCTCCCCTGCTAAATCGTCATCGTCCTCGGTGACAAAGCAACCGTTTTTCACCTCTGTTAAAGCTCCTCTGAAAAACACAAATCCTAAGCTTTCAATAATCTGTAAAACCATCTAAGGATTTAGTTCTGGCTCTAAAGCAGACCTAGGTTCATGATGTGGGTTTGGGTGTTTCCCTGCATTCACTCTTTTACTCCTGCGGGGGGCAGGTCTGGGAACTTGCCTAATGTAAAGAGGAGATACTGGTATCTCACACGGTTTGTCAGGATTACATGTTTCATTGTCAACAATCTCAGTTTCCACCTGTTCAATCACAGGAGGTTCAAGTGCTGAAATCAACTGAGTTTCTGCTCGTTTCTGAATACTGTCACCCATAGGACAATTTTCTCCACCTGAACAGGGAGTTAAGTCAAAAGAAACCTCTTCAATGACTATGCCCCCATCATTCTCAATACATGAGTCAGTGTGTGGGTCAGTAGTGCTTGTCTGTTTGGTTACTGTGTTTTCACTGGGTCTTTGGTTTGTGACGGGCAGATTAACACATGACCTGATGTCAGTCCTGTTAACCTTTTTTGTAGGTCCTCCCTCTATAGGTTGTACTGTGCAAGTTGTGCCTACTATGTCTATAAGTTGGTATACAACTGGGCTCCATGCATCCTGAATTTTGTTACGACCAGCTGGTCTGTGTCTCAGATAAACATACTCTCCAACATCAATTGAAGGACAGTACACTTTGTGGTTATGCTGAGCAATGCGTCTTTCTGCTTTCCGCTCAGTATACTCTTTTGCTTTAGCATGTGCCTCCTTGAGTCTTTGCTGATGCACAGCAAGCCAATCAAGATTTTTATCATGATGACTTTCGTTTGCAAGCAATGCATCAACAGGAAGATGTGGCTCTACCCCATAGAGCAAGAAGTAAGGGGAATATCCTGTAGTCGCGTGTGGAGTAACATTATACGCATAAACCAGCTCAGGTAAATGTTCAGGCCAACGCTTCTTTTTGTCAGGTGGAAGTGTGCGCAACAGTTCATGCAGGGTGCGGTTAAAACGCTCACACTGTGCATTCCCTGTCGGATGATGGGGTGTTGTACGTGTTTTTTTCACACCATACATTCTGCAAAGTTCAGCAATAACCTCTGATTCAAAGTTACGGCCCTGATCTGAGTGGAGACGTTCAGGTACACCGTACTTCATAAACCACTCCTTTAAGAGGATTTTAGCTGTGGTCTCTGCTTTTTGGTCACGTGTAGGAAACGCCTGAGTGAACTTTGTAAAGATATCGGTAATGACTAGAACGTTTTCACGGCCGTCGGAGGCTGGTTCAAGGAGCGTGAAATCTACTGCCACAACTTCTAAAGGTCGTGTTGCCAAAAATGATTTCATTGGAGGGTGAATCCTTGGATTGGGCATCTTTGTGAGAATACAACGTTCGCAATTCTTGACCCATCGCTCAACATCTTTGTGCATCCCGACCCAGAATGCTCTCTGTCTCAACAACTGTAATGTCCTCTCTATTCCCTGATGTCCCATAGAGTCATGAACACTCTTCATTACAGCTGTTTGTAAACAACCTGGAACGAGCAACTGAAAGCACTCTCCAACATGATCATCCCTCACCACTCTGTACACCAATCCATCACGTATCCTAATGTGTTTCCATTGTTTCCACAATGATTTGGCAGCAACAGGAAGGTTTTTCTTTTCTTGTGAACTGGGTGGTCTGCCTCGATCCAAAAACAGTTTTAAAACACTAATCACTGGATCTTGACATTGAAATGTCCGCAGCTCTTCCTTGGAATAACCGGGAAGAGTTGGCGTGGCCTCTTTAGCATGTGACTCGACCTTACCAGTTTCTGCAGCCCTGATCTGGTTTAGCTGACAACATTTGACCCCAGCTGTAACCAGCTCCGGCTGAAGGGCAGTGCCTCTACAGATCAAATTGCAAATTGCAATGCAATCATCAAACTCCTCGTCCTCCGTTGGTTCTGGCTCCCCTGCTAATGGGTGTCGTGACAATGCATCTGCGGCTGTGTTACACCGACCTGGTCGGTACTGCACGTCAAAGTCGAAAGCAGCTAACTGTGCTACCCATCTCTGTTCAATAGCCCCAAGTTTCGCACTTTTCAGATGGCATAAGGGATTATTGTCTGATATTACAGTGAATTTAGAGCCCAGAAGGTAACCCCGAAACTTTTCCACTATAGCCCATTTAAGCGCAAGCAGCTCAAGTTTCATGCTGCTATAGTTTTTATCATTGCGCTCTGCATTTCTCAGCCGTCTACTTGCATATGCAATGACCCGTTTTTTGTCACCTTGCTGCTGATATAAGACAGCTCCTAAACCCTGACCACTAGCATCAGTTTCCAAAACAAAAGGACAAGTGAAATCTGCATAACCTAGGATAGGAGCAGTCACAAGCTTTTCTTTCAATGTGTCAAAGGCAATCTGGCTGTTGGCATCCCATAATGCATTTAGTTTTTGACTAGCTTTGGTTGTAGTAGCAGCTCCTCGACAATGATTCACAAGGTCATGTAGTGGGGCTGCGATCTTTGAAAAACCCTCAACATACCTTCTGTAGTAGCTACATAGGCCTAGAAATGATTGGAGTTCCTTAACAGTGCCAGGCACAGGCCATTCCTTGACTGCTGCAACCTTGGAGGGATCAGTTGCGATGCCCTCTGCAGAAATTTGGTGTCCGAGGAATTTTACTTCCTTCTGTAAAAAGTGACATTTTTCCCACTTCACTTTTAACCCTGTGTCTCTTAAACGTTTAAAAACTAGGTCTAGCCTTTCCAAATGAGACTCAAAGCTGGGTGAGTATACCAATATGTCATCCAGATAGACTAACATGATGTCAAATATCAGATCGCTCATAGTTGCTTGCATCAACCTTTGAAATGTTGCAGGCCCATTACACACCCCCATGGGCATGCGTACAAACTCAAACAGCCCAAAAGGTGTGGTGAAAGCAGTCTTATGTCGGTCTCGATCATCCATGGCCACTTGGTGATACCCACTGGCAAGGTCAATTGTGGAAAAGAATTTGGCACCTTTCAACGCATCAAAACTCTCATCAATACGAGGCAATGGAAATGCGTCTTTCTTAGTTTTTAGATTTAGCTTTCGATAGTCTACACATAAGCGAATACTGCCATCACCTTTGCGGACTACCACGACTGGTGAGGCATAAGCGCTTTCACTTTCCTGTATTATTCCTTTTTTCAAAAGTTTAGAAATGTGTTCTTGGACTTCCTGGTATTGGTTAGGAGGTATACGTCGATATGGCTGTGTGACAGGTATGTCATCCACCAGCTTGATCTCATGTTTCACTTTGTCTGTGTGACCCAGATTCTCATCATCATCTGCAAAAACATCAATGTAACGGGACAGCAATGCACAGAGAGCAACACGCTCTTCCTCCGTGCCCCCCATGTCAAGTCTTTCCAAAATGGCTTGCACCTTTCTGTCAGTATGCACTGTGTTAGAGTCAACTGAAACCTGTTCAACATCGGCAGAGATGCGGTGAAACTTTACTTGGCACGTCTGCTCATTCTTAACAGGATCAACCTTTGAGATCACGCCTAGCCGTGTTCTGGGGCCCAACCAAACTTCCTCGGCGGAGAAATTAACCACCTGGAGCGGAAGAACATGACTGGTCCTCGTGACAAGTGTTGGGATAACTGCTAATCCGGGTGGTAGAGGAGTAGCCATCGGTTCAATGATCAACTGAGAGGCTGCATCTGAGGTTTTAGTGTCACCTTTTACGAACACAGTGGATACCGAGGATGCAGGGATACGTACTTTGTTTCTGCCTGCAGCCCGAACAATCGCCTTTCTCTCACTGCAACAGATCTGTGCCTGTTGAAAAGCCATCCTCCACCCAGAGTCTAAGGATCCACCCAAAGTATTGTCAAACTCTGTTGTCACCAGCTGTCTGCATCTGTGAATGACATTCATACCAATTAAGCATTCTTCAGACACAAAAGCATTTGCTGAAGGCTTCAGGACCAAGAAGCCACAATTTGGGATCTTTAAACTCATCGTCTCAACTTCCAGTTCAATATATCCCTGGTAAGGGATGTCAAGTCCATTTGCAGCAGTTATTTTAAGCCAACTAGTTGTAGCTAGCATGCTCTCATCATCACCAATATATTTTCTGAAGAACTCATCTGTCATAGTACTGACTTGGCTGCCAGTGTCCAGTAAACAATGAGCTGACCTCCCATTAAGTTTTAGATCAACCACTGGGCATTTTCCTATTGCACGCTCAATTATTTGTTCTCGTGTGATCTCGTGCGTAGATGAGTCTATGACATGACCCTGCATTACCCGACTCACTGCAACCAGGGTCTCTCGTTTCCCGACTGACCGGAATCAGGGGACTCATCAGAGTTTTTGTGTCTTTTCTGGGGACATTGTTTGGCAACATGACCAGCAGTTTGGCACTTGAAGCATATAGGCTTACCATCAGGGGTAAATGCTGGAACAGTTTTGATCTTACATGGTGTCTGGCTACTAGGGCTTTTGCCCTGTACTGTCAACTCTTTGACAGCTTTAGTAAGCTCTGTTATCGCTTTGCCTTGCTCAGTGAGGACTTTAAGAACATCATCAATTGAAACCAACTTCTCTTTAGGTCTAGTTAGATTAGTGACTTTGTCTTGCTCTTTAAGAGTTTTCATCACATCCTCCAGATACATTGGATTTCCTGTCTCTTTAACTGCACAGCACTGTGCTCCTACTGTAACATTACTGCAGGTCTGCACTTTACTCCTAACCATTTTTGTGCTAGGGGCTTGGTCTAAGGACCACAAGTAAGCTTCTTCCCGCACCTCTATAAAAGTAGACGCAGGTTTTCCTCTTACATATTTTCGGAGTTCTCGCCTCAGGGAAAGGTCTCTGACGCCTTCAATGAACTGGTCTCTCAACACAGTGTTCTCATTAGTCACGGAATTAGGTTGCTGTTTCCGTACAAAACTAAAGGCCTGAGATAATGAATGTGAAAAGTCACGTATGTCTTCACCCTCTTTCTGTTTACAGTTGTAGAAGTTTTGTAAAAGTTGGGAAGCACTACGTTTATCTCCAAACGCATCTTTTAGGTAAACAAACAGGTCCTTTGCAACATCACCATCAACTTTGCGTAAACGCACCTCCTCCAGAGCTGAGCCTCTTAAAAGTGACAGCACAAAATCGAACTGTTCAGGTGCAGACTGATTTCTAGCAGAAATAACCCTTTCTACTTCTTCAATAAACTCATCTACACTCCTCCCATCTTTTTCAATGTCTCCACTAAATGGTGAAATGTGCCGTTCTCTGGGTACATAGACATAAGATCTGGTAGGCTCAGTATTTAGTGATGATATGACGGTCATGACCTCGTCTTGTCTTCTGGCTAACTCACTTAATTGTTGTAACACCCCAGCTTGTTCAATGTCATTTTGTCCATTGTTCTGTCCACCATCCTGTTCATTACCCTCATTATTATTCACTACTACCTGTTCTTCATGCATCTCAAAGCTCTCGTCTTGGTCTGACATGTTCTGAATTTTTTTTTTTTTTTTTTTTTTTTTTTTTTTTTTTTTTTTACTGAACAGTCAATAGAAATTTAAATAGCAAAGGATAACTTAGTCAAGTCCTGATTCCACTGGACTGCTCCAAGACCGCTGCTGGGCGATGCTCTCCCCCTCCTGGAATGCGTCCTGGGCTGACGATCACCTTGGCTGAAATCCCTCACAACCACGCCAGCACAGACTGTCCAGCAACGTCCTCCTCTGATCTTGAAGCAACTGCCGTCACACAGGCAGGATACCGAGGTCCACTCTGGTTTAGGCCAGTTCTTCACCACTGCCGTTTTATAATGCTAAAGCCGCGCCACCATACACAGGCTCTAACAGAGAGAGAGAGACTAATATAAAAAAAAGAAAAAAAATATGACCCCACTCCTGGTACCAATATTTGAAGCCGGGAGTAATACAGCACACAGAGCTTCAAATAACAGGGGTTCTTTATTTAAAAAAAAATAAATGAATGAGGTTCAGTATTTGAAAAAAGTGAACCGTATTTTATCAACAGAAAGCCTGAGCTCTAGTGAAATGGCGGGCTAATAACGCTAATAACACTCAAAGTAACAACGTAGCTTCGCATACAAGCCAAAAACTTCACAGCTGCATATAACAAACGGCAGTGGCACCTCTAGAAGAGGACAAACAGAAAAACATAACATAAGCATCATATCTGTAGTTTTATCCACGGAAGATATCTCAGTTCAAACATTAATTTACCTAATACTTGGATTCTTCACTCATATGGCCATAGAGTCGTCTTCTCCAACAAGTCTTAGCTCAAAAAAAGAAAAAATGTCTTTCTCCTCCGTTTCTTTCCAGTTAGAGTACCACGGTACATGAACAAGAGTTTTTTTCTACTTCTGGTAACTTTAGACCTCTCTGTACCAACAGCACCACATGCTGACAAGAACAAGAATTACAACCAGTCAGTGAAACAAAAACAAAACATGGTTTACAGAATATATCTTTGACATGTACCCATTTTTCACCTGGTTACATGTATTTATTAAAAATGCTTAACAATTCCTGTAATGAATGAATAGCACAATGAAAGAAATAATGTCTCATCTAAACATCCCTCACTTAACAAGAAAAGTTAATAACTCTCAACTCCCAATAACAGATGATACTCAGCCTCAGCAATGAACGAAATAATGTCTGTTCTGTAGGCTATTGGAAAAAATAAATTAACAAATGAGCTAATTAACAAAAAATACCTCTTGTGTAGCAAAAATTATTCAAAATGTACCAAAAACGAACAAACATATCAATAGACTATCTTTACTTTCGTAGTCCAGGTGGCTTTTCAGATCCCTTGCACCTCCATTGGACACCGAGACATATGTGCACAAGGCCTCCCGTTTGTCTTGACCCGGTCTGAAAGCGGGGAAACTCTTTTGTTAATCGTCGGTAAACATACATTTGCGCTTTTGCATGTTGTTGGCGTACTGACAGCCACGCATTCTATATTCTGATTAAGAACAGGGATGCCCGCACCAACGCGGCTCAGGGATTACGTCACACACAGCGCCATGCACAGTGCCCTAGCGCCTGTAAATTTAATGGTCCAATTAAGGTAATTTAAAAAAATCAGGACATTTCCTCTCTTTCTTAAAAAAAAACTGGGACGCCCGGGACAGGACGTGAAATACTGACATGTCCTGGGAAATACGGACGTTTGGTCACCCTAACATTGATGCCACAGTTGGATTTAAGCTCAGACTTCAACTTTACAACCACAAGTTTCTTTTAGTTTTCCCAACTAGAGGTTAACTTAGTGGTATAAATTGGATCAATAATGCTCACTATGTCATGATTCCTGGCACTAGTGCTGATCTGATTCAACACACTTGTCAGTTTTGCCGTTTTCCATCAGCTTTCATCACATTCACCTGCTTACCCTAACTATATTACCAGTTCTCCGACTTGTGCCAGAATATCACGAGCCATTGGTGGGTTTAATCGAGCATTCCTGTTACCTGTCTGACGGATTCTGACCCGATTCTGTCTACTGATTCTCTGAGCCTGCTTGAACCCTATCGGACCTGTCATAGTGTGTTTTTGGATCTCTGACCTGTTGACTGTGACTTGAATAAAATGCATTTTTCTATAAAAATATTTGGTTTATGTGACCATGTTTTAATGCATTCCTGAGCTATCATTGTTAATTTTTCACTGTTTTGATTGCATTTAATAACTCTGCGTCAGGGTCACATTCATCTGCTGCTATTTTAAAGGACACTTTGAATGCATTAGGCCTTAAAACTTGAACATACCTCAGAGACTCTGGAATTAACTCTTAAAACCCCTTTTTCATTTTTTTTTTTGCTTTTATTTACTTGTGTTTATTTTCCAGTAGTGTTTGCGTAGGTATTAGTTACAATAATACTGTGTGATTATTGGCAAATAAAGGTACCATTGCAGTTATTTTATGGTGTGAACGATTTATCACTCAGGTCGAATCTACCCTCCTTTGGTTAGTATTTTGAATGAACAGAGACAAACAGCCGGTCCAGGAGTCCAGACTTATGTAAATGACTAAGAACTCTGGTGAATAAGCAAATTACAGTTATTATCATTTAACTAATAACCATTAATTGTTTTTATCCCAAATTTCAATGGACTATTAATTAGGTATAACTTCCAATTCTGTTATTTAATATATTTATAATCTTCTGGTAAACATGCACAACACTAAGCCAAATGCATTTTGGCAATAACTGGTGATTTTATGATTAGATAAACTTCTGTGTAAATAACAACATCCCTACCAGAACATTTAAATGCCTCCCAAATACAAAACCATGGATCACAAGTGATCTGAAGCAACTGCTTAACAAGAAAAATTAAGCCTTCAAGAAGGGAGACAGAGAATTAATGAGAAGTATACAAAAGCAACTTAAGGTCAAGATGAGAGGAAGAGGTAGGAAATCAAACTCCAGTAAAACACTGTCAGAAATGTGTGGTCAGGGATGAAGGAGATCACAAACATAAAACAGAAGGATGATCAGACAGATGGAAGTATGGACACAGCAAATTAACTGAATATATTCTTCAACACATTCAGTTCAGGAACAAGCTCAGAATCCCTCTCTCTAGCCCACAGTCACATGGACATCCTGCCCTCCTCTGTCATTGATTATTCTTTATCTATGAGTTTCTTGTCAGCTAAATGAGGAGATGGTGCTCCTCCCTCCACCTTTCACCTGTCTGTCTCTAGAACTAGAGTAAAGAAGCAACTGAAAAGAGACTGAGTTGTAATAAGTCATCAGGGCGTGATGGTGCATGAGCCCCAGAGTCCTGAAGGCCTATGTAGAGCCCCTCTCCTTTTCTTCCTTAACCTGACCCAATAGACAGTTGAGCAAATATGGAAGACCCCCTGCCTTGTTATAGTGCCAAAGAAAACTCAGCCAACAGCCCTCAGTTACTATAGACCTATTGCCTTGACAGCCCACATCATGAAGGTCCTAGAGCAGGGGTGGGCAATTAGAGTTCCTGGGGGCCGGAATCCTGCAACTTTTAGATCTATCCTTGCTCCAACACACCTGAATTAAATGGCTCGGTTACCTCCTTAGTATGCAGTCACTTCCTCCAGAGTCCTCTCAATCATCTAATTATTTGATTCAGGTGTGCTGAACCAAAGACACATCTAAAAGTTGCAGGATAGCGGCCCTCAGGAACTGGAATTGCCCACCTCTGTCCTAGAGCCTTCATGATGTGAATTTGAAAGAGCCATGTTGGACCATAACAACAAAAAATAAATATGTGTTGAGACACAAAAATGTAAAAATCTTATATAAGCCTTGTGTGCCAACACAGGCTCTAAGTACATTAGCCAGCTATAAAAAAAAAGACAATGTGGGCTTATATATATATATATATATATTAAGCACTCTTGATTAAATGTTTATTCTGTAGCAAATGTCACATTACTTGACTACTCTGCTGTATGATATTTGGTGCTTTGAATATCAATTCCATAGTAGCACGAGGTGAGGGAGGAGCAGTGAACGCTGTCACCGTGTTGAGTTCGCCGCTCGCTGCTTCACCACCCTTAGTTGCGCGGTTTGTATATATTAGGTTTTGTTGCACTGATGAAATTATAGAAACACGATAAAGGAATCTGTCTACGGTGGATGTGTTTCTGTTGGGAGAAGTTGATTGAGTCCAACCAAAAACCAAGCAGGAACGGACATCCATCAGAGCAGTGCTCTCTAACCCTGAAATCCAACAACCTCTGTCACCAGCATTCCATGGTGTTATTTTTATTTTAAGGATTTAGGGAAAACAAATTGTGCAGAATTTCCCAAATCTGGATGAGAGCGCTACCTGTTTGATTGGTGGAGGGTTTTCCATGCATGCAACAAAACTAGCAGCAGCAGTGGAGTTTGAAGATGCAATCCACTCCTAAATCTTTCTTTGAGGTCCTCTAATTTATCTAGAAGTACTGCAATCGCAGCTTTTCTCTAACCCCCAACTTTGATGCATATTTAGCATGCCTTGCCTGGAAATGCCTTTCCAAATTACTCTTTTTTTTTTTTGACAATCTCATTAAAAAGCAAACTTGCAGGCAATCCCTCCGCATTGGTAATAAAAGCAAATAATTCAGTCCCTTCTTCTTTGAATCCTCTGTTCTCATCAGCTATATTCCTCTTTTTCCCTTTAGGTCCCACGCGCTGAAGCGTGCGTTGCAAGCTATGACACAAATTTTCGTTGACAGAAATGTTTACCTTTAATGTCTAAATGTATTTATTATACAAGTTTTTACAGCATTGGAAAACATAATAAAGCCGCGGGTTGCCAACCCCTGTCCTAGAGAGACCTTAGCCCCATTTACACTTCCCTTTTGAAACCGTTCCAAGATCGGTCTGAGCACGGTATCTGAGAAAACTGTTGAGTGCAAATGGCACACAAAACTCAACTGAACCGTGGCAGACACAACCAAACCTTCTAATCAAGTAGTTAGCAACACAGGGACACCACAACTCTCTCCATTCCTTTTAAACTACTCTGTGCACCTGTGTTTTTCTAGTAACAGATAGTCATTTGGGTCATTGGGTGCCCAAAGATGGGCAAGAAGCTGAGTACAAAGAGCTGGTGTACTGCTTTTTGGCATTGTGTGGAAACAATCATCAAATCCTGAATGTCAACACAAGGGAGATGACTCTAGATCTTATTAGAAACAGGAACGAGTCGAATCCAATTAACATGAAGGGAGAACAGGTGGAGGTGGCTGAGGAGTATAAATTCCTTGATGTTCACCTAGGAAACAAACTTGACTGGAGATGCAACTGTAAAGCCGTCTACAACAAAAGACAGCGCAGGCTGAACTTCCTAAAGAAGCTTAGGTCCTTCAGTGTTTGAAACAAGATGCTACATATCTTGTATGTTGTGTGATCTGTTCCTTCATCATCTGCTGGTGTAACAGCATTAGAGGAAATTACGTAAAAAACCTAAACAAGTTGATAAAAAGGTTGTCTCTGTTCTAGGAACTCATCTAGAGACTGCTTGAGATTATTCCATAAAAGATAATTTGTCATAAAGTGAAGACGATTATGGACAACAGTGAGCATCCTCTTTAGAAGATTTTTAAACATCAAAGTGTCTTCATTAAGAGGCTTCCCTAGATCCAGTGCCAGACAAACCAATACAGAAGATCATTCCATTCACATCAAATTGAAAAGGGCGTAAGACTCAACAAGCCAGAGTGTTAATTCTATAAGGGTCACATTTAATAAGTTAGAGGTTAGAAGCAATATTAAAAGGAAAATTAAAGATACACAGCAAAAAGGTTTCAAGAAACGTGACTTCGAAGAAAACATAGAAAAGTAGGATAAATTAGAAGAAATTTTGGATGTAACCAAATAGAGAAAAGGTTAAAAACTTCATTACAGTTTGGTCACATGGTACTTCATTCAACATGACATATAATGAGAAAACATGAAACAGGGAGATAAACCAGTAGAATCCGTGGAAAGTAAAACAGTGGAGCA